CCCATCCCCACCCCTCTGCCTCCGGCAGGCTGCTGCCGCACCGCCCTCTGGCCTTGCCCCTATAGGAGCTTTCCCGCACTCCCTGTCCTTAGCGCTTCCTGCTCCTCCGCTACCCCCCTTTGCTCCTGCAGCGGCGCGCACTGCGCACTCACGCGCCTCCCCCACACGCAGAGCGCACTCACGCGCGCAATGCGCACTCACGCGCCTCCCCCCCACGCAGCGCGCACTCACGCCCCTTTCCCCGTGCCCTTCCACCCCGCTATTGCTTCCTGGCCTTACGAGGCTTCCTGTGTGTCCAATGCGGTAGCTGATTTGAAAAATTCCGAGTCGATTCAAACATCGCATCACAACGGCTTGCTGTGGATCCGATACGGTACTAGCGGATCTTCGTAGCGGATCGTCCGGGTAGCGGATGTTAAGGGTTGAACAAACCGACAGGGACACGATACAACCTATCAGCGGAACGTCTGACCGAGCGTATCGTCCGAGTGTTTAGTGTGAACGACTGCGCGCAGCTGAGACGCGTGGTGCATCCCGCAGAGCCCTTCTGAGTCCGCCGGTCCGTTCCCACCGTCGCACGCCCCCTGAGGCGCCTTCCGACTATCGCCGCCCTCGTTCGTGTGCGCGCTCGAGCCGCATGCTCTCTGAATTTGGTAGGGCCGCAGAGCGATCGACATTTCCCAGGCGCAAGCCTGGCGCGCGTTCGGGCCAATCCGAACCTCCATGAATCTGGTTCGCGTCGCTGGTTGCTGGCTCTTGGCGCTTCGATTCCCGCCGCTGCCAGGCTGGCTGAGACCATGGCGTCCAATCTCGATTCGAAGAACCTGCGGATGGATTCAGTCTGGAACGCCACATGGCACGTGCATGTGGAGAGAACGCGAAGCGAGAAAAGCGACATTGTTTCGCCTCAACTGCTCGAGCCGAGGCGTGATTATGCCATGCAATGCAAGGCTAGTCGTGCAGAAGGAGAGATAAGGGCGCGGGTCAGAACATCACTGGAGCTGAGCGGTGGGGGCGCGAAAACCTTCAAATCGGGTTATACAGCAAAGTCTGCAGCCTTCGCGACGTGCTTTCCGATACACGGCCAGACAGTGTGACACGATCACGATCTGCACTGCAATCCGAAAGAGGCCTGGTTCGAAATTGAGAAGTCACATAACCCAAGCTTCAGATTGACATGAAAATTGGACAACCACTCTTTGCAACACCTAGAAATCTGGTTCGGTTCATTTACTGGTACGAACCTCTGCTGCTCGCGCTGGAGTCTGCTCGCACATAAAAGCTCGTGACTCGGCCAGAATATGAGCCCAAGTTTCGGGTGCGATCTTTCACGGGATCCCCTTGCAGCGCGGTTGCAAGCGGTTGGTAGGGGTGCCATCGACCAAGCTAGTCAATACGTGCCGAAGGATAAATACCAAGGATTACTACTTTCGTAGCGCGTCCCGCATCAAAGAATGGCTTCTACGAGTAACAGATTGTATGGCGTGACGTTGTGGCATTCTGCATCGCCCTGAGCTAACCCGCAATTTTGTTCGTGTCCTAATAGCACACAGCGGCCGCATTGCGGCATGAAAGTAGTACGCGCCGCTCCACGCCCTCATGTTGCTCCACGCCCTGCGCCGTTCCATGCCCTCAAGGCCCTTTTTGAGGTGACAAAGAAAGCACGCTGTCTCATTCGGCATCGCCCTGACCTAACCCGCACTTAGTTCGTTTCGGATCCAACACGCACGCAAGCACGCACTCAGATCCGGCATTGCGTCATCGCGTCTAGCTATCTCGCACGCATCGCCGGCATTGCGTCATCGCGGCATGAAGTACGCGCCGCTCGACGTTCTCAAGTCGCTCGCGCTCTTCGTCGCGGCGGGAATCCTCGAGATCTCCGGCGGTTGGTTCGTGTGGCAGTGGCGAATCAACGGCTGGCATTGGGCCTGGTGCTTCCTGGGCGCCGCGATCCTCTTCGGCTACGGATTGGTCGCCACCTTCCAGGATGCTTCCTTCGCGCGCACGTACGCAGCGTACGGTGGGATTTTCATTCTGCTCGCGCTGCTGTGGGGATGGGCCGTCGATCGGACGGCTCCGGACGTTTGGGACTTGGTGGGGGCGGCGGTGGCGGTGGGGGGAGCGTGCATCATCATGTTTGTGCCTCGCCCTGCCGCTGACGGTTGAGTCGACTCAAAGGTCCCCTCGGTGACGGTGGCGGTGGCAGTGGGAGGGAGTGTATAATCATGTTCGTGCCTCGCCCTGCCGCCTATGTTTGAGTCAAGTGAAAATTCCTCTCGGTGGCGGTGGCGGTGGGGGGAGCGTGCATCATCATGTTCGTGCCGCGGCCTGCCGCCGACGCCGCAGAGTGATTGCCAGGGGTTCAAGCGCTGAGTCGATTCGAGAATACAGTCGCCGATGGCTGGGGCGGCGAGCAGTTTGGTGCGAATGGGCGCACGTCTGATGTGGCAATCAGTGGTGTGGGCAAGTGAGTGTGGAGGAGCATGTTGGTGTGGTAAGCACGTGGGTATGGAGGCAAGGGGATGATAGCGATGGCAGGGTCGAGTAGTGCGGCGGAAATGGGCGCATGCTGAGTGACTCCTGAGGTTTCAGGCTCGGCGCGCTAACCATCGAGTTCATGACCGACAGGGTTACAGGGTTACAGGGTTACGCGCCGAGGCTCAGCATGCTCGCTTTGTGGCTGCTCGGCCACAAGAGGCTTAGCCTGCCTGCTGGGTCCAAACCTGGTCGCGCGCACTGGCTTGCTATGCGGTTGAATGAGGTGATCTCGAGTGAACGGAGCGGGGTGAGGGGAGGGGTGGAGTGAGGGGAGGAGCGGGGTGAGGGGAGGGGTGGAGTGAGGGGAGTAGGGGGGGGGTGAGGGAAAGAGTGGGGTGAGGGTAGCTTTTGGGTGTGGGGGGGAAGGGGATGTGGAGAGCATGGAGGAGCGAGAGAATTGAAGTTTAGAGAGTGCTGCATGAAAGAATGCTCAAGGCACATCAGAAGGCGTTGGCGGGGTGATGGGATGCACCTTTCAGTGGCCCTGATACCAGAAGGCCGGTCTGTACTTATCGGAGGGTGTAAATCGGAGGGTGCAGATCGGAGGGTGCAGATCGGAGGGTGCAGATCGGAGGGTGCAATTCGGAGGGTGCAAATCGCACGGTGCAGATCAGAGGGTGCGGATTGGAGGGTGCAGATTGGAGGCGGCAGCTTAATCAGTGCGAGCGAGTGTGGCGTTCTTGCGAGTGCCACCAGGTGCGCTTGCGTGTGCGCCTGTATGTGTGCATGTTGGTATGTGTGCATGTGTGCATGTTGGTATGTGTGCTGTGCATGTTGGTATGTGTGCATGTGTGCATGTGGGCATGTGTGCATGTATGCGTGTGGGCATGTGGGCATGTGTGCATGTATGCATGTGGGCATGTGGGTCATGTGGGCATGTATGCCTATGGGCATGTATGCATGTGGGTATGTATGCATGTGGGCATGTATGCATGTATGCATGTGGGTATGTATGCATGTGGGCATGTATGCATGTGTGCATGTGGGTCATGTGACCATGTATGCATGTGGGCATGTATGCATGTGTGCATGTGGGCATGTGTGCTGCATGTGTGCGTGTATGCATGTGCACACATGCCTTTGTTTGCACATCTCACATGCTTGTGATCATTGGTGTGTCTTTCTGGGCATTGCTATATTGATTGTGTTTGCCTCCTATAGTCAATGCTGTACAATATGAGTTCACTTTAACCATACATATGTATATTTCCATGCATATGTATCTCACTCGAGTTATGATTCTTCTTCCCTGTTGCCCTGTTACAAACTTCCACTCCACCCACCCCACTCCCCACCTATCCTGCCCTTCCCCATTCCACCCTCTCCTGCTTTCCCCATCTCTCCTGTCACCACCTCCTCCCCGCTCCTCTGGCTGTCTCATTCTTCAGGAGACGAGACGAGGCACTCGATCCAACAACACCTTGTTGAAGCGCCTCAGAGGAACTCTGGTTCTCTCATTCGGTGTCAGATGAGGCATTTGATGCAAGAATGCCCTTCAGTGGTCAATGCCCTTCAGGGTTCAATGCCCTTCAGGGTTCAATGGCCTTCAGGGGTCCATGCTGGTTACCAGGCAACATGGATACGTGCATAGAACATTGATGTTGATTGCAGGTTGGGTGTGTTGCAAGCCGCGACACCCACACTATACAGCATGAAAAATGGACATGCGTTGTAGGCTTATGGCCACGTTTTCCATAACTCAAGATCTGTTGTGCGTGATGTGCCTACTACCGGTATCTCTACGGGACGGGACACATCCATTTAAAGGGTGGGTGGAACCTGCCCTGCGACTGCTGTGGTATCGTGTGATTAGTTGCATCAAAAAACTTATGATTAATTATTAAAACAGCTTTCTCCCACATCAGAGTGGCGCAGCGGAAGCGTGGTGGGCCCATAACCCACAGGTCCGAGGATCGAAACCTCGCTCTGATATACTTTGTTCCACTGACTTAAGGAGGATTCAACCTTGATAATGAAAGTCCTTCTAAGGGCTTTGATGTATTTTTTCACTGTAGAACTCTGGGTTAGTGAAGAATGTTATACTGTAAACTGTAGGCGCGTGAAAATTTGACAGCCTGACTCCCACCCACATATCTGTTATGCCCAGCCAGATCCACACCACACCACCAACGCGCCTCCCAGGTTTTGCGTCCCTGCCTAGCACGCGTAATCGCAAATCGCAATTTCCTACTAAAAAACGTTCTCCGTCGCTAACTGGTTCTGGCTTCGAGCTTCACAGAGAACGGCTTTCTGTGAGCCAGGGCCGAAAGTAAGTCGCTAGCAATGCGTGGCAGGAGCGATAGCGATTCCGAGAGGGAGGAAGATTTTAGGAGGAGGCGTGGGCGTAAAGAGCGGAACAACAGCCCCGATTCTATCGATGGTGACTCTAGCGGGAGTGACGAGGACGCGCGGGATGAAGGGCGCGGAAAGGGGAAACGGAACGCGCGGGGCGCTGGGGGCAGATGGGCGGAAGGATGAGCGGAAGAGCCGCGGAGAGCCTGAGAGTCCAGCGGAGGACGACGGGGGAAGGCGGGGAGCGGGGAAGCAGGGGGGGGGGAGGCGGAGATGGGGGCCCGGGAAATGCGCGCCGCAGGGGGAGGCACGACTCGGACGATGAGAGCGACGAAGATAGGGGCGGTAGCGATGGCGGAAAAGGGGGCGGAAGGGGTGGCGGAAGGGGCGGAAAGGGGAAGGCGCGGGAGGATTTCGAGGAGGAGCGTACGGAAACGAAGAAGAGAGTAGGAGGACGAAGGGGAGAGAGGGATCGTGAGGAGGACGAGGAGGAGGAGGAGGGGGGTGAGCGGTGGGAGATGGGTGGGGGGAGGGAGAGGGTGCGGGTTGGGCGGAAGGAGAAGCGCGGGGAGGAGGGGAGGCGCGGGGGTCGCACGGAGAGCGAGGAGCGGGAGGAGCGTGATAAGGGTGAGGGGAGGAGGGAGAGAGATCAGATGAGGGCGAGGGATGGCTTGGGGGAAGGTGAGCGCGAGCGAGATGTGATTAGGGGCCGGGAGGGCGGGAGGGGACGAGGAAGGGATGACGTGGATGGGAGGCGAAGGGAGAGAGAGGATGATGGTGGCAAGGATAGGCGACGGGATGGCGAGATGGAGAGGGGGAGGGAGCGAGACGGCAGGAGGGGGAGGGACAGGTCGGGCCGGCACAGGCGGGGAGGGTCCGATTCGGATGGGAGTGAGAGCAGCGGCGAGTGGGAGAGGGAGCGAGAGAGGGAGAGGGGGGGGATAAGGGGGAGAGGAAGGGAAGATAGGCACAGGAGGCATGCGGAAGGTAGGCGAGAGGAGGGGCGGCGAGATAGGGGGAGGGGCGAGTGGGAGGGAGAGGAGAGGCGGGGCGACGGGCGAGGGGCTCCCGTGCGCGCACCCAATGCTGATGCTGCCGCCACTCCTGCCCCCGCCGCTGCTGCCACTGCTGGCGGAGCAGCAGGCCCAGGCGCAGGTCCGGCTGCAGGCAAGGCAGCATCAGCGCGGGACACAGGGCGCACGGGAGGCGCGTACATCCCGCCGTTCAAGCTGGCGCGCATGCTACAGGAGGTGAACGACCGCAGCAGCGCGGAGTACCAGCGGCTCACGTGGGACGCTCTGCGCAAGTCCATCAATGGGCTGGTCAACAAAGTCAACGCGTCCAACATCAAGAACATCATCCCCGAGCTCTTTGCCGAGAACCTCGTGCGCGGCAGGGGGCTGCTGTGCCGCGCGTGCATCAAGTCGCAGATGGCAAGTCCGACGTTCACTCATGTGTTTGCGGCGCTGGTTGCGGTGGTGAACACAAAGTTTCCCGAGCTGGGCGAGCTGCTGCTGAAGAGGATCATTCTGCAGTTTCGAAGGGCGTTTCGGCGCAACGATAAGGTGAGAGTTGATGGCAAAACATGTCCGCTCTTTGGGAGGCGCCTGGACGCTAGAGCGCGTGCATCAAGTCGCAGATGGCCAGTCCGATTTTCACGCACGTGTTTGCGGCGCTCGTGGCGGTGGTGAATACCATTTTTCCGGAGTTAGGGGAGCTGCTGCTGAAGAGGATCATTCTGCAGTTTCGCAGGGCGTTCAGACGCAACGACAAGGTGAGAGGGGAAGGAACAAACTGGTCTCGGTTTTCTGTTGACCGGATTTCTGTTGCTCAGGACTTTGTTGGCTGGGAACCTGTTGTTTGCGGCGCTGGTGGCAATGGTGAATACCAATTTCGCGGAGCTGGGAGAGCTGCTGCTGAAGAGGATCATCAGGCGGGCGTTCCGGCGCAACGACAAGGTGAGAGGTGAAGGGGAAAGGTGGTCCCTTCCCAAACTGGGGGAGTCTGTTGCTCAGGCGCTCGTGGCACTCGTGGCGCTGGTGGACGTACGTGTAGCGTACTAAGTTCCCCGAGCTGGGGGAGCTGCTGCTCGAGAGGGTCATTCTGCCGTTCAGGAGGGCTTTCGGTTCGGGCGCAATGATGATAAGGCGAGGGGTGGGTGGGCCACGAGGTCCTCGCGTTCGAGCTCCCTCTCTTGGCTCATAGCCAATCCCCCCCTCCCTTTTCTCGACCTGTCTCCCTTCCTTGCCCGTCTTTATATCTCCAACATCCCCATCCCCTTTCCCCCATTCTTTACTTCTTGATCACGCACAAGATCGTTGCGCTTGACCTGCCTCCCTTCCACCCATGCCTGTCTTACATATCCTTTGTAACCCCCCTTCGCCCTCACTCCCCTGCAGCCGGTGCTGGTGGCAGCGTGTCGCTTCCTGGCGCACCTTGGCAACCAGCAGGTGGCTCACGAGATCGTGGCGCTCGACCTGCCTCTCTTGCCCACCTCTCTTAGCATATCTCCGTCATTCCCTCCCCGCCCCTCCCCTCCTCCTTCCCCCCTCTTGCAGCCGGTGCTGGTGGCGGCGTGTCGCTTCCTGGCGCACCTCTGCAACCAGCAGGTGGCTCACGAGATCGTGGCGCTCGAGCTGCTCACACTGCTGCTGGAGACGCCCACGGATGATAGTGTGGAGGTAAGGGCTGGGGAAGGTGGTATCTGGTGAACTCTATGCCTGGTAGTAAAGGAGGATAGCGCTGCTGCTTGAGCTCCTCACGTTACTACTGGAGACGCCAACGGATGACAGTGTGGAGGTGAGGCATGGGGGAGGGAGGTGGGGTCAGGGGAATTACGTTATGGGGAAGTGTGGCGCCATGCTGCCGGACCTCTGCCTTCTTCTGCTTTCTATCTCATCCCCACCCATCAACACACACGTCCGCCCTTTCCACTGCCAACTACTCCCAATCACTCTTAACCACTCCCCACCAACCAGGTGGCGGTGAGCTTCGTGAAGGAGTGCGGCGCCGTGCTGCACGACCTCCGTCTCTCTCCCCCCCCCCCATCTCTTCCACACTCAATCACACACACGTCCACCCTTTCCACTCCCGACGACTCCCAATCACTCCCAACCACTCCCAACCAGGTGGCAGTGAGCTTCGTGAAGGAGTGTGGCGCCATGCTGCAGGACCTCTCGCCCCAGGGCCTTCACAGTGAGTGCTCTCGCCTTAGGCTTGGGATTAATCTTGGGAGAGCCCAGTGACATGGCCTCCACAGGGAGTGCCAAGTTGCTTGGTATGTGTGTGTTTTTTCAGTTGCTCTCCGTCCTCGTGCTGTTTCAACCCTCCCATCCCATCAATCTTCTGCCCAGCGTACATTTGCCATGCCACCACCCGCTTCCTCCCTTCAACCAACCACCTTTTGTGTTGAATTTTATGCGCCTGCGTCCACATACGCTGCACAAGAGCCATGGAACTGATCATCTGCGCCCCAATGCTCCTGTGTTGTGCTGTGCTGTGCTGTGTATGTGGATGCGAACTGATAATGCATGCTCCCTGCCAACTGAGTGGTGCGCACACTGATGCATCGCTGCACTAATTTCTGGCAGCAAGTTTCACAGTCTTGATCCTATTGCTTAAGTGTTTACTACAGGTTTGCAGCTACTCCGCGATGAGGCTACTGAATGCATGCTCCCTGCCGACTGAGTGGTGCACACACTGATGCATCACTGCACGTCGTGCCTCCCTTTCTGCTTTTCCCTTCAACCCCCCACCCCCAGGCATATTCGAGCCCTTCCGTGGAATCCAGCATGAGGGGGAGATGGACAAGCGCGTGCAGTTCACCATTGAAGGGCGCTTTTCTCCCCTCCTCTTTTCCTCCTCTCCACCCCTTTCCCTCCTCCCCTTCCTGTCGTCCCCCTCCCACCCCTCACATCGCAGGCATGTTCGAGCGCTTCCGTGGCATTCTGCACGAGGGGGAGATCGACAAGCACGTGCAGTTCACCATCGAGGGGCTCTTTGCCATCCGCAAGGCCAAGTTCGAGGTGTGTGGTTGGTGAGGGGGCATGGGGAGTGTATGGGTGGTGGCACGGGTGATGCTGTGTGTGCAGTTCACCATCGAGGGGCTCTTCGCGATTCGCAAGGCCAAGTTCGAGGTGCGTGCCCGTGATGTGGGGGAGTACGTATGGGCTGTACACGTGTCATGCTGTATGCACGGGCGTGTGTGTCTGTCTGTGCGAGTGCAGCTCAGCTCACCATCGAAGGTCTCTTTGCCATCCGCAACGCCAAGTTTGAGGTGCGTGTGATGGGGTGAGTATCGATCACCCATGGTGCTGTTGCGGATGTAGCTAAAGAGGTGCCTTAACCACAACTCGCCTCCATTCCAACCATCTCCCCTGCTCAGGGCTTCCCCGCAGTGCTGCCCTGCCCAGGTGGGGGAGGGGGATCAGATCTTGCACGAGCTCTCAACATCTCACGCGCACCCTGCTGGCCTCATGCTCACGTCTTCACACCCCTCCCGATGCTCGTCTCTCCCCCTCCCAGGGCTTCCCAGCGCGGCTCCCCGAGCTTGACCTGATAGAGGAGGAGGGTCAGATCAGCTCTCAATTTCTCCCCCTGCTGACTTCATGCACTCCTCTTCCCGTCCCTCCCTCCCATGTCTCTTACCCTCTCCACGGCTTCCCAGCCGTGCAGCATGGGATCTATCTGGAGGAGGAGGTGGAGGAGGAGGAGGGGGATCAGATTGGACCACCCACAAGCTGTTATTCACTCACTGACTGCTTTGGCCTCATGCACACCTCCCCCCACCCCTCCTCCTCCCCGTGTCTCCTGTCCTCTCTCAGGGCTTCCCTCCCAGCAGTGCAGCCCGAGCTGGATCTGGTAGAGCAGGATCAAATCACGCACGAGCTGGCAATCACTCGACCCACCTGGCTTCATGCTCACCTTGTATCGTGATTCCCCACCCACCGTGTTCCGTCCCCCCTTTTTTCAGGGCTTCCCAGCGGTGCTGCCAGAGCTGGATCTGGTAGAGGAGGAGGATCAAATCACGCACGAGCTCTCGCTGGAGGAGCCGTATGACCCCGAGACTTCACTCGGTGAGCTTATAACGAGGATGATTTGCGTTGAGAGGGTAAGGGTGCTCTCGAAGCTCGATCTGTTTGAGGATCAGATCACTCACGATTTCCTTGAAGAGCCGTATGACCCCGAGACTTCCCTGGGTGAGCGGCGAGCTTATAACGAGGATGATTTCGTGGGCAAGGGTGGTGTGTATGTATGTATAGCTCTGTTTAAATTAATTTCTTCCTCCTTGTCCTCTGCTTTCTTCTCTCTTCTCAATGCATGCTTCCTCGCGCCTTCCTTTTCCGTTCGCTGGCCCTCCCTCCCTCCCTCCCTCCCTCCCTCCCTCCCTCCCTCCCTCCCTCCCTCCCTCCCTCCCTCCCTCCCTCCCTCCCTCCCTCCCTCCCTCCCCTCCCTCCCTAGACCTGTTCACTTCGAATTCCATCCGGGCTATCTGGCCAACCACCAGCGCTACAAAAGCTTGATACGCTCGCCCTTTCCCTCCACTTCTCGCCTTTTCCCCCTCCCCCCCTCCTCCCCCCTCCCCTCCCAGACGTGTTCAAGTTCGACCCGGACTACCTTGCAAACGAGCAGCGTTACAAGGAGATCAAAGCAGAGATCCTGGGGGATGAGGAGGAGGATGAGGACGAGAAGGGCGAAGGGGGGGGTGATGATGACGACGATGACGAGGATGAGGAGAGTAGTGAGGAGGAGGAGGACGAGGAGGAGCAGGCGAAGTAGCAAGAGATTCGCGACGAGACGGAGACCAACCTGGTGAATCTGCGGCGCACCATTTACCTGACCATCATGGCTTCAGTTAACTTTGAGGAGGCGGGCCACAAGCTGATGAAGGTCAACCTGCAGCCGGGGCAGGAGGTGAGAGGCTTCTGCTGCTACTGCTGCTGCTGCTGCTGCTCTCAATGCTGCTTGGGGGATGAGAGGTAGTTGAGGGAGGGGGGGGGGGGGTAATGTGTGTAGAAGGGGGCACAAGCTGATGAAGGTCAGCCTGCAGCCGGGGCAGGAGGTGAGGAGCTGTGTGAGATGCTGCTCGCCTGCTCCCCATTCAATAACTTTCCTCCCTCCCCCTCCCCACACCCCCCTTACCCCCCCCCCCCCCCCCCCTCCTCCCCCTTCTTCCCCTCCCTCTCTCCCCCACCCCCCATAGATGGAGCTGTGTGAGATGCTGCTCGCCTGCTGCTCCCAGGAGCGCACCTACCTGCGCTACTACGGGCTGCTGGGCCAGCGCTTCTGGTGGGTGGAGTGCGGTACTCGGAGATGATGGTGGGTGCGGTGGTATGGTAGTGTCAGGTGAACTCAATCCAAGATGGTGGTATTGGTATTGGGTGCTCCTACCTCCGCCTCTAGGTTCTCCTGGGGCAGCGGTTGTGGTGGGTGGGGTACGGCTAAGTTGGAATATACGCGTACAGCGTATACTCGCATATCGTATATACGCTAGCGTATACACGCTATCCGCTTTGGGGTTCGGTTTAAAGAAACGCTTTTTCGGGCAAAGAAAAAACGTTCCGGGCAGGGTGAAATAAAAGTACTCCCTATTCTCACTAAGGCTTGCCCTTGCATAATCCTCAATCCGATGTCAGAGTATTATAACTGATGCATGTTTGTAGGCTATAGTGGGGTAGCACATATCGGGTACAGCTTTCTAGGGTTGTATTTGTACCCAACTCTGACTTAGTCATTTCCATTCCTGTTCACTTGTTTCACATGGTATAGAGCGGGTCCTTCCTTAGGACCGTTTTTTTTAGGGCCCACCAAAGCGCGCCCCGAGGCGCGCCTTTTTTTAGCGACCCCTCGGGTCGCCATTTCCCTTGCGGCCCCGCTGTCCCTCAGACGCGGCCCCGCCACCCCTCCTGATCGCGGCCCCGCCGCCTGCTTGACGCGGCCCCGCCGCCTCCACTGACGCGGCCCCGCCGCCGGCTCTGACGCGGCCCTGCCGCCCGCTTCGTCGCGGCCCCGCCGCCTGCTTGACGCGGCCTCGCCGCCTCCACTGACGCGGCCCCGCCGCCGGCTCTGATAAGGCCCTACCGGCCCGCCGCTGCACCCTACGGCCCGCCGCCTCACCTGACGGCCCCGCCGCTGCACCTGCCGGCCCGCCGCTGCACCTGCCGGCCCGCCGCTGCACCCTACGGCCCGCCGCTGCATCTGGCGGCCCGCCGCTGCACCCTACGGCCCGCCACTGCACCCAGCGGCCCGCCGCTTCACCTGACGGCCCCGCCGCTGCACCTCCCGGCCCGCCGCTGCACCCTACGGCCCGCCGCTGCACCCTACGGCCCGCCGCCTCACCTGGTCGGCCCGCCGCTGCACCCTACGGCCCCGCCGCTGCACCTGCCGGCCCGCCGCTGCACCGGTCGACCCGCCGCTGCACCTGACGACCCCGCCCCTACATCTCCCGGCCGAGCCGCCCCAGCAGCATAGCCGCCCCAGCAGCCGAACCGCCCGGGAGCCGAGTCGCCCAACGCCGAGCCGCCCGGGACCCGAGCCGCCCTGCCGCCGAGCCGCCCGGGAGCCGAGCCGCCCTGCACCCAAGCCGCCCTGCCGCCGAGCCGCCCGGGAGCCGAGCCGCCCTGCGCCCGAGCCGCCCAGCCGCCGAGCCGCCCGGGAGCCGAGCCACTGTGCACCCGAGCCGCCCGGTCGCTGAGCCGCCTTTCTGCAGAGCTGCACGACCTGCCCTGCCTGGTGAGCACAGTTCCACTGACACTGCGAGCTCTTTCCCTATTGCTTGCACTGCGTCGCTGTCGTCGCCATGGCTACCCCTAGTGTCCTAGCTTTTGACGCTGAGGGTCGCGCCATTGATTTTGAGGTCTGGTTAGACGACCTGCAGCTGTTCTTACAGTGCGACAGGGCTGACGACCTTTCTCTCTTTGACCTCACCTCTGGCGCCTCTCCTGCTCCTGCTGCTGATGCAGATCCCACTGTCCGCTCTCAGTGGGCCACCCGCGATGCTGCTGCACGTCTTCCTGTGCGTCGCCACCTCCCTACCTCTGAGCGTGCGCACTTTAGCCAGTACAAGAGTGCTCAGACCTTGTACGACGCTGTAGTTGCGCGCTACTCCTCCCCTACCACTGCTGCACTGAGCCGTCTCATCCTTCCCTACCTCTTTCCTGACCTCTCTGCCTTTCCCACTGTCGCTGACCTCATTACGCACCTCCGCACTAGTGACACTCGCTACCGCGCCGCCCTTCCTGCTGAGTTCTGCGCTAAGAACCCACCACCCATGTACATCGCTCTCTACTACGTAGTCGCGCGCCTCCCTGACTCCCTTCGCGTCGTCAGGGACCACTTTCTCGCAGTCTGTCCCACCACCCTCACCGTCGACCTCCTTGAGAAGGCCCTCCTCGCAGCGGAGAAGAGCATAGTCGCTGTAGGTGCTTCTCGTGGTGACCCTCGCACCCCCATCTTTGAGGGGTGCTCTCCTTCCCCCTTGCTGCCCTCTGTTGCCTCTGCTGCTACTGCCGACCTGCTTGGTCTTGAGTCGGTCGGCGCGGCGTCTGACCCTAGTGGGAGACGTCGCTCCAGCAAGGGCAAGGGGGGCAAGGGCACGGGTGGAGCTGGAGGGGGGGGTGGCGGTGGCGGCGGTGCCGGCGGAGGGAGTGGGGGTGGCGGCGGGACTAGTGGCGGGGGTGGTGGTGGTGGTGCCAGCAGCGGCGGAGACGGTGGTGGTGGTGCCAGCGGTGGTGGTGGAGGCAGCGGCGGAGGTGGAGGCGGCGGAGGTGGAGGCGGTGGAGGCGGCAGCGGAGGAGGCGGTGGTGGTGGAGGAGGTGGAGCTGGTCGGGGTGGTACCCAGCAGCGTCGCGGCGGTGGTGGTGGCCAGCGCTCGCAGCGGCAGCAGCAGCAGCGCTCGCGGGACATCCCTCCGCCTCAGCAGCTTCGTGAGTGGTACGCTGGGCGTCAGAGGGGTGGGGGTACTGGTCCGTGCACCTACGTTCTTTGTTCCAGCGACCGCGAGGGTGAGCAGTGTGGGGGTGCCCACGCCGCCCAGCGCTGCTTTGGCCGCCTGACGGACGCTTGGCGTCAGCAGTTCCCTGGGGCTAGTGAGATCCCTCGCTGGGATGAGCTTCTTAGGGCTGGTGTAGCGATCTTTGATCTTGATTTTGATGCTATCCTTGCTGCTATGTATGTTGTGACATATAGTGAGGAGAATGAGGGTTGCTAGTGTTTCCAGCCCGACCCGGGCATTGGTACTGCTGCGCTAGGTGCTTGTGAGGCTGCTGCTCTAGGTGCCAGTGCGTCTGCGCTCTGAGGTACTGGTGAGACTGCGCTCTCAGGTACTGCGTCGTCCTCGTCCTCCCTCACTTTCACACTTGACTCCGGGGCTTCTCGCTCCTTCTTTCGGGACCGCACTACCCTTACGCCGCTCGGCCGGCCGGTTGCAGTCTCCCTTGCTGACCCCACTGGGGGTCCTGTCCTGTCTCACTTCTCCACTGTCATCCCGTGTCCGGCTGCCCCTTCGGGCACCCTGTCTGGTCTGTACCTCCCCTCGTTCTCTACGAACTTGGTGAGTGGTGCGGACCTGCAGGATGCGGGGGTTCACCAGTTCACTCCTGCGAGTCAGCGGGTGACCCACTGCACGGACGCACGCACAGGCCGACACCTGGCCACGTTCTCGCATCGGCCGGGGTCGAGTCTCTACACCCTGACCGTTGAGTCTCCTCCTGTCCCTTCGTCTGGTCAGGTGGCTGCGTCGGGTCAGGTGCTTGCTGCTGCGTCCCGGTCAGGTCCTGAGTCTGCCCCCTGCTCTTGTCGCCTCCTGTCTCACGAGACTCTCCTGTGGCACCACCGTCTTGGCCACCCCTCCTTGCCCCGTCTTCGGAGCATGGCTTCCCGTGTCCTTGTCTCTGGTCTTCCCCACTCTCTCCCTCCTCTCCCTTCCGGGCCAGGACCTTCCTGTGTCCCCTGTGTCGAGGGTCGCCTCCGGGCTACTCCTCACTCCTCCCACTTCCCCCCGACAGAGGCTCCCCTGCAGACGCTTCACATGGATGTGTGGGGCCCAGCCCCCGTCCGTGGGCAGGGTCACGAGCGCTACTTCCTGTTGGTGGTTGACGACTACTCGCGTTACACCACAGTCCTCCCCTTGCGCAGCAAGGGTGCGGTCACTGAGGTGCTGATCGACTGGATCCGCGAGGCTCGTCTCCAGCTCAGGAAGAGCTTCGGCTCGGACTTTCCTGTTCTGCGTCTGCACTCGGACAGAGGCGGAGAGTTCTCTTCTCGCCTTCTGCGAGACTACTGTCGTGCACGGGGGATCCGCCAGACCTTCACGCTTCCGGACTCACCACAGCAAAATGGGATTGCTGAGCGCCGCATTGGCATGGTCATGGATGTCGCTCGTACGTCCATGATGCATGCGGCTGCCCCCCATTTTCTGTGGCCGTTTGCGGTGAGGTACGCGGCGCATCAGCTCAACCTTCACCCCCGGGTCTCTCGGCCTGCGATGTCCCCAGCCTTGCTGTGGACGGGGAAGGTTGGCGATGCGTCTGTGTTCCGCGTCTCGGGATCTCGGGCGTTTGTCCGCGACTTGTCTGCGGACAAGCTGTCCCCTCGTGCTGCTCCCTGTGTCTTCCTTGGCTTCCCCACTGACGCCCCAGGGTGGCAGTTTTACCACCCCTCCTCTCGTCGGGTTCTGTCCTCCCATGACGTCACGTTCGACGAGTCAGTCCCCTTCTACCGTCTCTTCCCCTACCGCACTCCTTCCCTCCCCCCTCCCCCGGACTTCCTTGTGCCGGTTCCCCCCCCGGTAGACCCCCTCCCCCCTCAGGTTCCTGCCCCCTCAGGTGTGTCCCAGGTAGACGCCGTTGACCCGGTCGAGGTTACTGGTGACTCTGGTGCTGCTGCGAGTGCTGAGCCTGGGGATGCTGACTCTGGGGGTGCTGTGCGTGGGGGTGCTGAGCCTAGGGGTGCTACTGCTGGGGGTACTGGGCCTGAGGGTGCTACTGCGGAGGGTGCGGAGCCGGGGGGTGCTGTGCCTGGAGGTGCTGGGTCTGGGGGTGCTGGGTCGGGAGCTGCTGGGCCTGGGGGTGTTGAGCTGGGAGCTACTGAGCCTGGGGGTGCTGCGACTGGAGCTGCTGAGCCTGGGGTTTCTCCTGCTGCTGCGCCTCGCCGGGAGCCCCTCTCTCCACAGGAGCTGCGTGAGTGGTTCGCTCGCCGCTGGAGGCGTGCTGCTGAGTCTGGAGGTGCTGCTGGAGCTGGAGCTGGAGCTTCTTCGACCGTCGAGGGTGCGGGTGCTGCCGGTCCCGGAGCTGCTGGACTTGCGGGTCCTCCTGGAGCTGGAGCTGCTGAGGGCGTTGGTGCTGAGCCTACTGCTGTTGGTCCTGCCGCTGGAGGTGTGGGTGGCGCTGGTGCTGTCGCTGAGGGTGCTGGTGCTGTCCCTGCTGAGTCTGGAGCTGCCGCGCGGCCTCGGCCGTACTTCGTTCTGCTCCTGCAGCAGGTTCTTGGTCTTTCTCCTCCTGTAGAGGGTCCACCGCCTGTCCAGTCGCAGTCCCTGCTGGAGCCTTCCTCTCCACTGCCTGCTCCCTCTCCTTACACTGGTCCTACTGAAGGTCTTGCTGAGCGTCGTGAGCCTGCGTCTCGTCCTGCGTCGCCTGTTCGTGCTGCTCGCGCTAGTGGTCGCAGTTCGCGTCAGCGTCCTCCTCCTGTCCCTGGCACGCACCGGATGTCTTTGCGTCCGTCCACTGCTCCTCTGCGTGCCCCTTGCCTTCTCCTCCTGAGTCCTCTCTTCTTGCACTTGCCGACCCTGAGTCGGACTCTCTTCGTGCTGCCAGTCCTACTGTCACGCGTCTGCTTGCTACTGTCGTCACTGACCCCTCTTTTGAGTCCACTACTGCGTCTGCTCTGGTCGCTGAGCTCGTCGACTTTGCTGCTCGCTCTCGTCTCAACTACGCTGCTAGTCTTGTTGCTGAGTCTGCGTCTGTCTGTCCTCCGTCCGTCGGGGGTGAGTGTGCTCTTGGCACGGACGTCCTAGAGGACAGGCAGGAGGAGTTCCAGTGTCTAGCGGCTGCTTCACCTCATCTCGCGTCTGTACTGCTTGCCCCTGAGGGAGACCCGGATGCACTAGACATCCCGACTCCGCGTTCTTATGCGGAGGCCGTAGAGGGTCCCTACTCCTCTCAGTGGCAGGCAGCTATGGATGCAGAGATGGCTTTCTGGAAGTCCACAGGCACCTACGTTGACGCGGTTCCCCCTCCTGGGGCGAACATCGTCAGTGGCATGTGGATTTTCAGGGTGAAGCGGCCGCCGGGCTCTCCACCTGTCTTCAAGGCACGGTACGTTGCTCGTGGCTTCTGTCAGCGACAGGGAGTTGACTACTTTCAGACCTTCTCTCCCACCCCGAAGATGACCACTCTTCGGGTGCTGCTGCACATAGCCGCTCAGCGCGACTACGAGCTTCATTCTCTCGACTTCAGCACTGCGTTCTTGCAGGGTAGCCTGCACGAGGAGATCTGGCTGCGCCGTCCACCTGGCTTCACTGGGACTTTCCCTCCTGGCACCTAGTGGAGCCTCCGACGGCCAGTCTATGGTCTCCGCCAGGCACCGCGTGAGTGGCACGACACACTCAGGACTACGCTTGCGGCTCTTGGGTTTGCTCCCTCTACTGCTGACCCGTCGCTGTTTCTGCGCACCGACACTTCACTGCCGCCGTTCTACATCCTCGTGTACGTCGACGACTTGGTCTTTGCCACAGCGGACACTTCTGGACTCGCCTACGTGAAGTCCGAGCTGCTGAAGAGACACACGTGCACAGATCTGGGTGAATTGCGCAGCTACCTTGGCTTGCAGATCACTCGGGACAGAGCACGCCGCACCATTACCTTGACTCAGTCACACATGGTGCAGCAGGTCCTTCATTGCTTCGGCTTCACGTACTCCTCGCCTCAGGCCACTCCTCTGCCTACTCGCCACTCACTCTCAGCTCTGCCTTCGGATGAGTCCGTAGAGTCGAGTGGTCCGTATGCAGAGCTTGTTGGCTGCCTCATGTACCTGATGACCTGCACACGACCTGACCTTGCATACCCTCTGAGCATTCTTGCACGCTATGTTGCTCCTGGGAGACACCGACCAGAGCACATGGCAGCAGGGAAGAGGGTATTGCGCTACCTGTGCAGTACGTCGGGCATGGGGCTAGTGCTTGGAGGGCGGAGTCTAGTGGTCCTTACAGGCCACGCGGACGCTTCTTGGGCTGACGACCAGGCTACGCAGCGGTCGTCACAGGGTTACACCTTCAGCCTTGGTTCCGGCTCTGTCTCGTGGCGGTCTACTCGCTCGTCTTCAGTTCTCGGCTCCAGTTGTGAGGCTGAGATCTACGCCGGGGCCATGGCTGCACAGGAGCTTCGCTGGCTCACCTACCTGCTGACTGACCTTGGAGAGCCGCCTCGTTCTCCTCCAGTGCTGTACGTAGACAACAAGGCCATGCTGGCCTTGTGTCGAGAGCAGCGCTTGGAGCACAGAACGAAGCACATTACTCTCCGCTACTTTCTTGCTCGTGAGCTGCAGCAGCGTGGTCAGTTGCGACTTGCGTACGTGGCCTCTAAGGCCAACACTGCTGATGTGTTCACCAAGGCACTCGCGCCTTGTGACCATCAGCGCTTTTGCACCCAGCTGGGTCTTGTGCCTGTCTTGCCTCACTTGCTCTCCTCTTGACTTCACTTGTACTGTGACATATATATATACCTGCTCTTGCTTGTCTAGTTTTATATATATGTCTGTCCTCCTGCATGTGAACTGGCCTCTGGCCCTGCTCTTGTGCTCGGACTGTGTGGTGACTTTGTGATCCACCCTGAGCTTGCTTTGCTTTGCTTTGCTTGACTGGTCTTGTGACCCCTTGTTCTCCCCCACTTTGCCTATGGGGGTGTGTCAGAGTATTATAACTGATGCATGTTTGTAGGCTATAGTGGGGTAGCACATATGGGGTACAGCTTTCTAGGGTTGTATTTGTACCCAACTCTGACTTAGTCATTTCCATTCTTGTTCACTTGTTTCACATCGGAATGAAGAGTGCAATTGGAGGTGGAGTAACCATAATAGCAAGAAAGCGAAGAAGTGTGAACTCTGGTGAAAGCGGGAACGAAATGACGAGTTAGGTTTAGCCAACCGGGCTGGCTGGTAAGTACCGTGAGATTTGTTGTTTGGGAAATTTTGATAGGTTGGAGTTTGTAGATAGAGTGGGGTTCAATGCGGTAGAAGGGATGGATTTCAATGCCTAGATGAGATCTGAAATCCAACATTTGCGTGACGACTTCGAAGTCAGATCCCCGTTTGCCTAGACTGCGGACTTGAATTCCGACTACGGCGAAATGCTCACCTAGAAAATCTGCATCTTTTTTGCCTTTCTTTTTTTTGGGCAGCCCTAAAAAAAAACTAAGAGCGTATAGCTTATTTGCTATCGTATAGCGGATAGCGTATGTACGCTAGCGTACATACGCTGTACGCTTAAGGTGTTAAGCGTATATTCCAACTTAGGGGTGCGGTACTACCTCCGCTACGTTGTACTCCTGGGGCAGCGGGTCTGGTGGGTGATTGCATTGCAGCTGGAAACGGGGGGAGGGGGGGGGGGGAGTGTGGATGGAGGAGGTGACTAAAAAATATTGCATGATCATGTGGGGTGCGATGGTGATAGGGAGCGTAGTTGTGCTACTATTGAATGCTGGGGCACCTATTATAGTGGTGGGAGTGGAACTGGTGGCATTGTTGTGTGAAGTTCACATTCCCTCAGCTATTTCTCTGTCTCTCAATTTCTCGCTTTCCCTCTCCCCACTCCTCCCTTCCACCCTTCCACCACAGCATGCTAAACCGCGCCTACCAAGAATGCTTCGTGAAGCAGTATAGCATGATTCACCGCCTTCAACCACTATCCACCCCTCCCCACTCCCCCCCCCTTCCACAGCATGCTGAACCGCGCCTACCAGGAGTGTTTCGAGCAGTGCTTCGTAAAGCAGTACAGCATGATTCACCGCCTCGAGACCAACAAGCTGCGCAACGTCGCCAAGCTCTTTGCTCACTTCCTCGCCACCGATGCCATGCCGTGGGCGCTACTCTCTTATATTCGCTTGACCGAATAGGACACCTCCTCCTCGTCCCGTATTTTCATCAAGATCATGTTCCAGGTGAGCTTTCGTGCAGCAGGGTGTGCGCTCAGGTGAGCTTTCATGCTCCCTAGTGCTGCGCTCTCAGGGCAGTGGGCTCTCTTCGCCCACTTCCTCGCCACTGACGCCATGCCGTGCCCGCTGCTCTCCTACATTCGCCTCACTGAAGAAGACACCTTATCATCCTCCCGTATCTTCTTCAAGATCATGTTCCAGGTGCGCTTCAGAACAAGCAGGCGTGCACTGCACTCAGGTGGGCTTCAGAACAAGCAGGCGTGCACTGCACTCAAGTGCGCTTCAGAACAAGCAGGCGTGCACTGCACTCAGGTGGGCTTCAGAACAAGCAGGCGTGCACTGCGCTCAGGTGGGCTTCGGAACAAGCAGGCGTGCACTGCACTCAGGTGGGCTTCAGAACAAGCAGGCGTGCACTGCACTCAGGTGGGCTTCAGAACAAGCAGGCGTGCACTGCACTCAGGTGCGCTTCAGAACAAGCAGGCGTGCACTGCACTCAGGTGGGCTTCAGAACAAGCAGGCGTGCACTGCACTCAGGTGCACTTCAGAACAAGCAGGCGTGCACTGCAGTCAGGTGGGCTTCAGAACAAGCAGGCGTGCACTGCAGTCAGGTGGGCTTCAGAACAAGCAGGCGTGCACTGCACTCAGGTGGGCTTCAGAACAAGCAGGCGTGCACTGCACTCAGGTGCGCTTCAGAACAAGCAGGCGTGCACTGCGGCTTCAGAACAAGCAAGCGTGCACTGCACTCAGGTGGGCTTCAGAACAAGCAGGCGTGCACTGCACTCAGGTGCGCTTCAGAACAAGCAGGCGTGCACTGCACTCAGGTGGGCTTCAGAACAAGCAGACGTGCACTGCACTCAGGTGCACTTCAGAACAAGCAGGCGTGCACTGCAGTCAGGTGGGCTTCAGAACAAGCAGGCGTGCACTGCACTCAGGTGGGCTTCAGAACAAGCAGGCGTGCACTGCACTCAGGTGGGCTTCAGAACAAGCAGGCGTGCACTGCACTCAGGTGCGCTTCAGAACAAGCAGGCGTGCACTGCACTCAGGTGGGCTTCAGAACAAGCAGGCGTGCACTGCACTCAGGTGGGCTTCAGAACAAGCAGGCGTGCACTGCACTCAGGTGCGCTTCAGAACAAGCAGGCGTGCACTGCGGCTTCAGAACAAGCAAGCGTGCACTGCACTCAGGTGGGCTTCAGAACAAGCAGGCGTGCACTGCACTCAGGTGCGCTTCAGAACAAGCAGGCGTGCACTGCACTCAGGTGGGCTTCAGAACAAGCAGGCGTGCACTGCACTCAGGTGCACTTCAGAACAAGCAGGCGTGCACTGCAGTCAGGTGGGCTTCAGAACAAGCAGGCGTGCACTGCACTCAGGTGGGCTTCAGAACAAGCAGGCGTGCACTGCACTCAGGTGCGCTTCAGAACAAGCAGGCGTGCACTGCACTCAGGTGGGCTTCAGAACAAGCAGGCGTGCACTGCACTCAGGTGGGCTTCTGAACAAGCAGGCGTGCACTGCACTCAGGTGCGCTTCAGAACAAGCAGGCGTGCACTGCACTCAGGTGCGCTTCAGCCTGATTGTGTGCTCTCAGGCTCTTTGCTTACTTCAGCCTGAGTGTGTGCTCTCAGGCTCTTTGCTCACTTCAGCCTGAGTGTGTGCTCTCAGGCTCTTTGCTCACTTCAGCCTGAGTGTGTGCTCTCAGGCTCTTTGCTCACTTCAGCCTGAGTGTGTGCTCTCAGGCTCTTTGCTCACTTCAGCCTGAGTGTGTGCTCTCAGGCTCTTTGCTCACTTCAGCCTGAGTGTGTGCTCTCAGGCTCTTTGCTCACTTCCTCGCCACTGATGCCATGCCCTGGGCGCTCTTCTCTTATATACGCCTCACAGAGGAAGACACCTCTTCCTCGTCCCGCATTTTCATCAAGATCATGTTCCAGGTGAGTCGCAGCGAAGCTTAGGTTGACACCGCACTCACAGAGCGGTGCCACAGTGGGCTCTTTGCTCACTTCCTCGCCACCGACTCCATGCCGTTGGCGATGCGCTCTTGTATTCGCCTCCATGGGGAAGACACCCCCAGCACCGCCTCACACCCCACCTCCAAATTCTGTTCTCTGTCCCGAAACTCGCCTCTTAACAGGAGATGTGGGAGCAGCTGGGGCTTCACAGGATGAAGGAGAGGCTCAGTGACCTTTCATCTACGTCTCTTTTTCCCCATGTCCCCCGAACGCCCCACCCCCATTCTCTCTCTGTCCCATTACCACCCCCCCTCCCCCCTCAACCCGAGCAGGAGATGTCGGACCAGCTTGGGTTGCGCAAGATGAATGAGACGCTCAGCAACGTGTGCTTTGTTCTCTCCCCCCTTCCCCTCCCAACCCCCCCCCCTCCCCCCTTCTCTCCCCCTCCCCCTATTTCCTGAAACCAACCATAACAGGAGATGTCGGAGCAGCTTGGGCTGCGCAAGATGAACGAGAGGCTCAGCGACCCGACCATGGGGGCGGCGTTTGACGGCATTTTCCCCAAAGACACGCCCAAGAACACGCGCTTCGCTATTAACTTCTTCACTTCTATCGGTCTGGGAGGGCTGACAGACAACCTGAGGGAACACCTGAAGAACATGCCGAAGCTGATCATGCAGCAACAGAAGCCTGTTCAGGTGTCCGAGAGTGAGAGTGAGAGCGAGAGTGATAGTGAGAGCGATAGTGGGTCGGACAGCGGGAGTGACAGTGGGAGCGAGAGTGAGAGCGAGAGCAGTGAGAGTGAGAGTAGTGAGAGTGAGGATAGCCGAGACAAGAAGAGGAGGCGCAAGAAGTGAGAATTAGCGTGTGGCTGTGCTGACTTGGTTGTTGGGTGTACTGTACATGCACTAGTACACTTTTACTTTGTGTTATGTTACTGAAATACGATGCTTGTACAATTTGCTAGTGGTGTAGCTGTGGGGCTTTGATTGTCAAAACGGAATTCAGGCCCTTGTTTGAAGCACCCGCTTGCAGTCATCTCATGAGAATGCATACCTTGGTTACAAATCCGGACCACCTTGGTTATTCTGAGCACCTGAAATTGTGTAATTGGGTGTGTAGTGAGAGTAAGTTGCAATTGATTTTAGGAACGCATTGAATACCAGCTATCTCTTGTTTCTAAGTGTAGCTTCATAGCCAATTCTACCTTCGACGATTTGTGACAGTAATTCGAGTCGCCATAGATATTTCCATCAATCGCCAGTCTCGTTTGTCAACCGTCCAGTCAACTCCAAGTCGCACATCACGTAGTTGATAGTTGTACGAGCTGACACACACTCCTGAGGCGACTCGAAATTCTATTCCAAAATCTACAGAGCTCCTTGCGCCGCGGCACGAATCGATAGACACTTGGGCAGCAACTGGCATCGGGTGGCGACGCGGCGAATTCTGAATGCGCGTGGAGATGTGTGCAGGTCGGTACGGGCCACGCGGGGTTAATTCAGCTGAAGCCTAGCCTGCGGGGAGCATAGCGCGGAACGAGCTGCACGAGATTGTTTTTCACGTCTCATCATGGCTTAGTACCATTTTAGGGTTCGTCTGCCGTGGTTCTGTCATTGACCACGTTAGGTCTCGTTAGTCCGCTGTAGTAGCACCCTCTAGGGTTTTCATCCGCCAGCCGTGGCCTGCGGAGAGTCTCTCCTTCCAGCCATCCGCGATTGCGGCGGTTTCTGGACGGTGTAGATTGGCTATGGCCATGTGATAGTGCCGACAGGGCGTCGTGCCACGTGTCGATCAGTTATTGTAGTGTGAAACACACCCCTTACCCCCTCTCATTCGTCTAATTATTTCCCCTACACCCCACCTCCTCCTTCCCCCCTCCGCACCCACCTTCTTCCCCTGTTCCCCTCAGGTTAAAAGGCATTTTGTGCTTATAAAATATAGACAAGTAAGGAGAGCACAGCAGCTATCTTTTTAGAGCCCATGGACAAATCACAGTCGCCACAGCAGCATGTACGGACAGCCTCCGCCGCCCACCAGATGGCCGCCCAGCAGTCGTTACCTCCGCAGTCCGCCGCCCAGCAGCCGCTGCCGCCTCAGTCTGCCGCCCAGCAACCTCTACCGCCCCAGTCGGCCGCCCAGCCACTGTTTGACCCGCGAGTCTGGCCTGGCTTTGAGCGGTTCAACCAGGTGGGGCGGGTGGCTGGTGCGGTGGGGTCGGGTGGAGTGGGGTGGGGCAGGGGAGGGATGTGGTTGGGGTGGCAGTGGAGTGGCGTGGGGTGGGTTGGGGTGTGATCGGGTTAGGACAGATTCTTCAATGCTTTCTAGGCGCGGGAAGAGGCGAGGCAAGGCGGGGGGAGAGGAAGAGGATATATCGGTATATCGTATCCATGGACGAGTGAGGCCGGGCGACAAGCGGATCAAGCAGGTGACTCTTGAAACATCGCCACCCGTTCTGCCATGTGTGTGTTCGTTCTGCCATGTGTGTGTTCGTTCTGCCACGTGTGTATTCATGCCCTTTGCTTTATCGATCCAAGAGCCATCGTGGGTCGGTCTGCTTCGCACTCATGACATGACTGACGCGTCAGCACTTCCATCTGGGTCCGATTTTTGAGGCTGTTAGATTGTCCGCTTTTGAGTCGACTCAAAAGCAGACGCATGTTATGTCCAATAGCAGGTTGTAGGGTGCCTTGGAAGATTCATTGGCACGCATGTGCTCATCTCCCCCTTCCCCCACTCCTGCCGGACCAGAGTTGGCTGCTGATTCACGAGATCAGGGCGAACCATGAGGCCCGGCTGTTACATTGGCTTCTGTATCGAGAGACGACTGCGCTCATACCTCCCGTTCCGCTTCCCGCTCCCCCCTCCCCCACGAACAGGTGCAAGGCCTGCTGGACCAGAACCCGCTGCTGATACACGAGATCAAGGCGAACCACGAGGCGAGGCAGCTGAGTTGGCTTCTGTGCAGACCGACCTACGATGTCGTATTGAGTGTCAACTGCTGCTCATCCCTCCCGTTTCCCGCTCCCCAACACACAGGTGCAAGGCCTGCTGGACCAGAACCGGCTGTTGATTCACAAGATCAAGGCAAACCACGAGGCGAGGCTACCAGATTGGCTTCTGTGCGCTGCATTGAGAGACGAATGCTCGTCCCTCCCCTCCCCTCCCCTCCCCTCCCCTCCCCTCCCCCACGTGCAGGTGCAAGGCCTGCTGGACCAGAACCGGCTGCTGATTCACGAGATCAAGGCGAACCACGAGGCGCGGCTACCGGATGGGCTCATGCGCAACGTGACCCTTATCAGAGAGCTCAACTCCAACGTCACCAAGGTGGGGATGTTACTTTCTTTACCATGGTATAAATGTGCTTGTGTGTGTGAATCAAACTGTATCATTCTTTGCAAATACCAGATGGGCTCATGCGCAACGTGACGCTCATCAGAGCGCTCAACCCGAATGTCACCAAGGTGGGGATTTGGTGCAAAGGTAGAGATTTTTCGGCCCCCAAGGTAGAAGTGGGTGTATGTGTTGAAGTGTAACACGACCCGGCTGCCGGATGGGCTCATGCGCAACTTCAGTTGAGATGCCGGATGACCCTCATCAGGCATCAATGTCACCAGAGTAGAGATTGAACTGTAACCCGCATTGAACTCTGCCTCGTGTGTAAGGTATAGTTTGATTGAGTAGGAACTCTTACGGCACGCCCTGATTGGTTGCTAGGGCTGAGTGAGCGCTCAGTCGCAAATTCCTTCCCTTTGTGCTCGTCCCTTGCCGTGCTTCCATCCGTCTCCCCTCCCCAATGCACCATAGGCTGTACGCTGAGATATTTGAGTGTAGTCTCTTTTGAGATTCCAATGCAAATGTGAACTCACTGTGCGAAATTTTAGTCGCTTTTGTATAGGCTGGCTGATATCAGAGTCTCTTGTCAAAAGTGACTGCAGTATCAGCTAGGACCTCCGGCAGATCTACAGTAGCTCGCCGTGAGTGCGTTTTCGAAATGTCTTCCCTTCACACTCTGCCCCCCTCCCCCCATATTCGTCCTGCAGGTGGTGGATATTCGTCCTGCAGGTGGTGGATATTCGTCCTCCCCCCATGTATGCTGACATCTCTCACTCATTCCCGCGCACCTTTGGCGTATCCACTGCTGCTCCTCATGAGTGCTTTCTCACATATCACTTCCCTGCTCGCTCCACCTGCTGCTCTGCCTTCTCCCTCCGTGCCCCGTCTGCAGGTGGTAGATCTCTACGCTCACATCTCCCGCACATTCATGCGCACCTCTGGCAGCTCTTCTGTGCGCTCACTTACCCATCCGTCCCCCTCCCCCTTCTCCGACTCTCCCGCTCTGCCTTCCCCCCTCTCTTGTGCACCCCTTGCAGGTGGTCGATCTCTATGCTGACATCCCCCGCACATTCGTGCGCACCTTAGGCAGCTCAGCGGCATCGCGTTATGTGCGCTCACTTACAGATCCGTTCCCCCTTCCCCGTGTTGTCCCTCCCACCCACCCACTCTGCCTTCTCTGTCCCGTGTGTGTGCACCCCCCACAGGTGGTCGATCTTTACGCTCACATCTCCAGCACCTTCGTGCGCACCTTTGGCAGCATAACTGCTCCTCATGTGCTCTCACTTACAGCTTCATTCCCCCTTTCCCCCCTCTGTCCTACCGCTCTGATTCTTCGCCCCCCACCTTCCCCCCCTCCCTCCTCCCCTCCTCCCCCCCTCTCCCCCGTGCCTCTTCTGCAGGTCGTAGACCTGTACGCTGACATCTCCCGCACCTTCGTGCGCACCTTTGGCAGCTCTGCAGCTACCCGCGCCTCTCCTGGCGCTGCTGGGGGGGATGCTGCTGCTGCCGGGGCTGTGGGGGGCGACAGTGAGGGCTAGGTGGAGGGGTGGATGCGTGTGGTTTGTGGCACTGCCCCTGCTGACGCTGCTGCTGATGCAGATGCCGCTGCTGCTAGTGGGGCTGTGGGGGGCGACAGTGACGGCTAGGTGTAGGGTTAGACGTGCAAGTAGCTGTGGTCGTGTCTCGCTCTTGGACCTTTGGCAGCTCTGCTGCAGCCCACCCCCCTGCTGGCCTGGCGCTGCTGGGGGGGCTGCAGGTGCCGACAGATGGACGACTTTTGAGACGTCTCAAAAGGCGCTGCTGGGGGGGCTGCAGGTGCCGACAGATGGACGACTTTTGAGACGTCTCAAAAGGCGCTGCTGGGGGGGCTGCAGATGCCGACAGATGGAGGGGTAGACGTGCATGTGCTGCTGTCACTGCAGCCTGCCCCCCTGCTGATGATGCGGTTGCTGGGGGGGATGCTGCTGCTGGGATTGATGCTGCTGCTGGGGGGACGCAGGCGCTGACAGTGACAGCTAGGCGGAGGGGTAGACGTGTGGTGATGTGACGGCTAGTTGTCCCATTCCTCACGACCTTCTGCAGCTCCACTGCAGTCCGTCCCTCTGCTGCCGCTGTTGATGCTGGAGGGGCTGCAGGCGGCAGCAGTGACGTGAGACGGCTAGCAGGACCTGTAGACGTGCTCGCGACTAGGTCATGCCTCGGCCTTTCTTTTATTGTCTCAACCACGGCCCACTATTGAAGTCGCATTTGAGGATCCTCTAACAAGGTTCAACCACGACCCTCTCCCCCCTTGCTGCTGCTGTTGGAGCCAAATACGGCTAGTTGGAGGCGCAGCGCTACATGTGGCTGTGACTCTCTGGGATATGTCTCAGGACCTTTATGAGCTCTGCCGCAACCTGCCAATCTGCCGTCGCTCTTGCTGGGGGAGTGCAGGTTCCATCAGTGACGGCTAGTTGCAGGGGTGGACGTGCATGTGACCTTTGGTAGCTCTACCGGAGCCCGCCCCCTGCTGCTGCTGGGGCGGATGCTGCTGCTGCTGCTGGGGGAGTGCAGGTTCCAATAGTGACGGCTAGTTGCAGGGGAGATGCGCATGTAGCTGTGCCTCTCGGACGTACGGCATCTCAGGACCTTTAGGAGCTCTGCTGCAGCCTGCTCCTCTGGTGCTGATGTGCCTGGCGTTGCTGTTAAGTGCGCGGCTCCCATTGGCAAGGGGATGAGGTGCTGCTGCTAGATTGAGCAGTTGCCGTTGGTGAGGGGTGAGATGGTGCTGTGTTGACCGGATGGCGAACAGCATTGGTTGGTTGGAGTCGCTGGTAGACCTGGGGCGTGGAGAAGCGGCACTGACTGACCTGTACCGTACGTAACGCATGGCACAGCACAGCTTGTAAACTTGGAATCATGTACTGTAATTCTGGGTGTAGCAGTTTTCAGGCAGAATGCACTTACCTGGTGTTTTTGTGAGCTAAGGTATGTGATTGATTTAAGGGGAGGGCAGGTGAGAAATAAGCACCCGCTTGGCCATGACTGCGTGAGGTGCATGTTGTATGGTCTTTCTTTTTGTTCCTGTAGTTTGCAAGTACATTTATCCATGCAATTTGTGCTGATACACTGAAAGTACATATTCCGTTTTTGTTGGACGAATACAGACTGTATTGAACCCTCTTATAGAACCATCGCTTGTACACCAAACACGTCACTTGGAAATGCCGTACACAGAATTTTGTGACGGGCCAGACCCGAAACCCCGTACCCTCTCCCCTCCTTCCTTATCCTCACTCTTCTTCCCTCCATTTCCGAAACAGCGCTTTATCATAACGCGCCGCTGCTCGAAGCGCGCCTCGGATTCCGTCGCGCGGCGACACGTGCCGTTGCCTCTCCGCCGTGTTCGTCGTTCACTTACCGCAATATTTATCTCGGCTGGTCGCATTAGTAGTCTTAGGCTACCGCAAGTCGACAATGGTGTGGTTTCAGTGCGAGGACTGCGGCGAGACGCTTAAGAAGCCCAAGCTCAACGCGCACTTCGGGCGATGCTCCGCTTACAAGGTCAGCGACGCGCCGTGTAAGATTTATAGCAACCGTCATGTTCTACGGAGTAACAGGTTGTCCTTGAATCGCGTACTTGGCGTGCTCTGGCTCGGTTTCAGTACGACAACGGCCCTTGTCGCCCGCTTCCTCGTACAGTGTTAGTTTTCGGCTCTCCGAATCTCGCGTCGACACTCTCGTCGCCGTTTCTTTTGTAATTACCCCTTCTTCGTCTTCCCCCCCTTCCCTCTCCCTCCATCCCAACCCCCGCACCCCCAACCAACCCCCTTCCTCCTCCCTCCCCTCTTTCCCCATTCTCCATCCCCCCCTCACCTCCCCCCCCTTCCCCTCCTCCCCTGCTATCAGCTCGCGTGCATTGATTGCGGCGTGACGTTTGATCGGCGCTCGGTACAGTCACACACGACGTGCATGACCGAAATGGTACAGTAATCACGCCATTATAGTCACATGCGAGAAAACTCAGCCTTTTTTCTGTTTTTTGTGATTAAAACCAGTAACTGAAAACCAGTAACTGAAATGGTACAGTACGTACTGCTCACTCTTTCCCTTCCATCCCCTCCCTCGTTCGAACTCGCCGCCAAACCCGATCCCCCATCCTCCCCTTCCTCCCTCTCTCGTCCACACTCGCCCCGCTCTCACAATGCTAACGCAGCGAACCCCAAGGGTGGGGATGGGGGGAGTGGGGGAGGCCGCTGGCAGGGGGATGGGGAGGGGCTGCTACGGCAGCATGATGTATCCGTGCCCTAAACCCCACTCTCTCCTTCCCCCGCTTCCCTCTCTCCCCCCCTCTACCCCTCTTCCCCCACCAGGAGAAGTTCGGGCCCAAGGGGGCCAATGCAGCGAACCCCAGTGCAGGGGGGAGGCCGCCAGCAGGGGGGAAGGGGAAGGGCGGGGGGGCAGCAGCGGAGGGGGGCGATGAATTTGACTACCACATGGGGCTGTCGACCCGACCCCCCTGGTACTGCAGGTGTGTGTGTATGGTGCTTTGTAGTTGGGGGAGGGGGTAGGGAATGGGTGGGGTGGAGTAGCAGGAAGAGAGGCAGGAAGGGCAGCAGGGCAGGCAGCAGCAGGGGCAGCAGGAGGGGGGCGATGGGTTTGAGTATCACATGGGGCTGTCGACTCGCCCCCCCTGGTACTGCAGGTATGTGTGCTGCTTCCAATACCCCATGGGCGTGCATGCATGGTGCTACCTGCAGGGCATATCGCATGGCATGCATGCGGCTAGTGCTCTCTTTAGGGGAGGGGGAAGGGGAGAAGTGGGGAAGCAGGAGAGATGGGGCTGTTGACACGTCCCCTGGTATTGCAGGTGTGGTGGCCTCAATACCCCATGGCCGTGCATGTATGGTGCTACCTCTAGGGCACATACCATGCATGCGGCTAGTGCTCTCTTTAGGGGAGGGGTAAGGGGGGAACTGGGGGAACTAGGCGGGATCTAACTTGTCGAATCGCAATACAAGGGGGGTCTAGCTAGACAGCAGGAGGTTGGAGACTCAGCGGGGAAGAAGCACCAGCCATGGGGGGGAAGATGCACCAGCCATGGGGGGAAAGTCACCCTTCTCTTCCCGTTCCCTGTTTCCCTGCTCCCCTCGTCCTGCTCCCTCATTCCTATGCTTTTCCCCTGCTCTCCTCTTTCCGTGCAGCCTTTGCAAGGTGAGCGCCACGAGCAATGCGACTCTAGAGAGCCACAAGCAATGCGACTCTAGAGAGCCACAAGCAATGCGACTCTAGAGAGCCACAAGCAATGCGACTCTAGAGAGCCACAAGCAATGCGACTCTAGAGAGCCACAAGCAATGCGACTCTAGAGAGCCACAAGCAATGCGACTCTAGAGAGCCACAAGCAATGCGACTCTAGAGAGCCACAAGCAATGCGACTCTAGAGAGCCACAAGCAATGCGACTCTAGAGAGCCACAAGCAATGCGACTCTAGAGAGCCACAAGCAATGCGACTCTAGAGAGCCACAAGCAATGCGACTCTAGAGAGCCACAAGCAATGCGACTCTAGAGAGCCACAAGCAATGCGACTCTAGAGAGCCACAGCCACTTAGAGGGGCGGAAGGACCACAGAGAAAGTGACCCCCCTCTTCCCTTCCCCAGTTCCCCTGCGTCCTCTGCTCATCCCCCCACTTCCCCCGTTACTTGCAGTCTGTGCATAGTGAGCGCCACGAGCAAGGGGCACTGGAGAATCACACTGAGAGAAAGTGAGGGGAGCGACCAGGGCCGCTCTGGAGGCGACTTGAGGCGACTAACAGGAACTCACGTGTGTGTAAGCGTACCTCTCTGTTCTCCCCCTCTTTCTGTGCAGCCTACGCTAGGTGAGCGCTACTGGCAAGGAGACACTGAAGAGCTTTTCAAAGGGTAGGATGCACCTCGGCATGTTCACCCCTCGCTTCCCTTCCTTCCCTTCCTCCTGCGCCCCCCGTCCCCGCTCTTTCTCCCTCCCCCTTTTCTGTGCAGTCTTTGCAAGGTGAACGCTACTAGCAAGGAGACATTAGAGAGCCACTCAGAGGGGAAGAAGCACCGCGGGAAAGTGAGGGGTGCGACCAGGGCTGCTGTGGAGGCGACTAAGGGACAGGATGATGCCTCTAGGGCCGCTGAAGATGCTGGAAACGGTGCAGTAGCTGACAGTGCAGTGCAGAGTGGTGCGGATGGTGCTGCCAGTGGGAAGGCGAATGGGGCTCCTGCTGTTGCAGCGAATGGGGCAGTGACAGGTGGACAAGAGAATGGGGCAGCGACAAGTGGACAAGAGAATGGGCAGGAGGAGGCGAAAAGTGGTGGGGAGGAGGAGGGAGAGGGAGGAGCAGAGGTGCAGGGAGGGGAGGAGGGGAAAAAGAGGAAGAAGGGAGAGAAGGAAGAGAAGGGAACAAAGAGGAAAAAACGGACAGAAGGGGGAAGCGAGGAGGAAACTGCTAGAAAGGAGGAAGAGCAGGAAGCAGTTGAGGCAAAGAGCAAGACAAAGAAGATGAAGAAAAAGAAAGAGAAAGGCGAGGCTGATGCAGCAGAGCCTCCTGAAGGAGGTGCTGGAATCCCGTGGAAGAAGCTCATTCAGCAGCAGCTCAAAGCGGTGAGTGCAGTGTGGTGTGCAGTTGTGAAGAAGGGTGCTGAGGTGCAGAGAGGCAGAGGAGAAAGGCGCGGCTGGTGCGGAGACTTCTGAGGGAGCTGCGGTGGTGCCGTGGAGGAAGCTCATTCGTTAGCAGCTCAAGGAGTGCAGTGTGGTGTGGTGTGGTGTGGTGTGGTGCATGCACCCTGTTGCCAAAACGTTGGTGCGGAGTCATTGGAGGGAAGAATGTGCTAGGGTTCAGTGGAAGAGGCTCATCTGGCAGCAGCTCAAGGCAGTGAGTGCAGTGTGGAGCGACATGTGCTCAAGGCAGTGAGTGCAGTGTGGAGCGACATGTGCTCAAGGCAGTGAGTGCAGTGTGGAGCGACATGTGCTCAAGGCAGTGAGTGCAGTGTGGAGCGACATGTGCTCAAGGCAATGAGTGCAGTGTGGAGCGACATGTGCTCAAGGCAGTGAGTGCAGTGTGGAGTGACATGTGCTCAAGGCAGTGAGTGCAGTGTGGAGCGACATGTGCTCAAGGCAGTGAGTGCAGTGTGGAGCGACATGTGCTCAAGGTAGTGAGTGCAGTGTGGAGCGATATGCTGCTACCCGTTGCAAACGGTTGGAAAGGTGGAGAGGTGCAGAGGTGCAGAGGTGCAGAGGTGGAGTGGAGAGGCGGAGAGGTGCAGAGGTGGAGAGGTGGAGTGGAGAGGTGGAGAGGTGCAGAGGTGGAGAGGTGGAGTGGAGAGGTGCATAAATGCAGAGGTGGAGAGGTGGAGAGGAGGAGAGGTGGAGAGGTGGAGAGGAGGAGAGGTGGAGAGGTGGAGAGGAGGAGAGGTGGAGAGGTGGCGAGGTGGGGAGGTGGAGAGGTGGCGAGGTGGGGAGGTGGAGAGATGGAATCTGTTTTCCGTAATTCTTTCTACTCTTCAACTTCTCAAAGTGTCACGCCTTGGGGGTGTGTGCCACGTGTTTAGCTGCCCGTGACACAACGTGCTACTTCCCCCATAATCTGCAGAGATGGATATCTGTTTCCTGTAATGCTTGCTTCCCCCGTGACCTGCTGTGCTGTGCGTTTTGAGGCACCTCAAAACTCGCTCATGCCACTCTGCCTAAACATAATCACCTAGAATCTCATGCTTTGGTTGTGTTTTTGTTGTCGAGTTGATGTGCTCTTGAACGCCTGTTCTCTCCAACCAGGCACCCAGCCATGAGCTGCCACTCAAGGCACTGAGAAAGCAGGTGCTCGCAGCAGCCAAGCGAGTGCTGGCAGAGCAGAGCTCAAAGGAAAGCGCCAAGGACAGCTGCAAGCAGGGAGCAGGCAAGGGAACGGAGAGCAGCAGCAAGGGAAGGGAGAGCAGCAGCAAGGGAAGGGAGAGCTGCAGCAAGGAGGAGCTGCTGGCTGCCTTCCAACGCTCTGTGAGCTCCCTGCTCTCACGCTCCCTCTACCTCCCTCTTGATCTCTCTATACTCACTCTCCCACCCTCTCTTCACACTCTCTCCCACGCTCTTGACCTCTCTACATGCATTTTCCAACCCTCTTGGCCTCTGCACTCACTCTCCCACCCTCTTGACCTCTCCATTCAGTCTCCCCCTCTTGACCTCTCCACACTCACTCTCCTCCCCTTTTTTACCTCTCCACACCCATTCTCCCTCTCTCGCTTGACCTCTCCACTCATCCTCCCCCTTCCCCCTCTTGACCTCTTCACGCGCATGCTTCCATGCTTCCTCTCTCTTGACCTCTCCACGCTAATTCTCCCACTTGACCTCTCCACACTCAATCTTATCTCTCTTGACCTCTCCACACTCAATCTCATCTCTCTTGACCTCTCCACACTCAATCTCATCTCTCTTGACCTCTCTGCACTGATTCTCTATCTTGCAGCTGGAGAAGTGCAAGGCAGTCATTGTTGAAGATGTTACAGTGAAGTTCAACGTTTAAAACCAGAGTCTCAAGATGGTTAAATTTCATTTGCGAAACGGTTGAAGCTTAGCTACCCCATTTGTGTGATCAAAGTGTTTGGTGGGTTGGTTTGGAAGTACCGTATTACCCCGGATAGAAGCGCACCTGCGGTTATAATAAAGGAGAGTTTTTTAGGGGGGTGCGCTTCTAATTGAGTAATTTTTACAAGCGCATGCGCTTATATAATGACAGATACAGATATATAATTTTATAGCACCAAAATGTACATCTAAGTCGTACCATTCCAATCGAGGCGAAATTTTTTTGCGCCAGGAATCAGAATTGCACGCTACTGATTTCTTAACAACACACAGGGGAAGAGACACGTCAGTTTGCCCCTATGCCAGCACATCTTGACCTGACGCGCAGCTTCTGAGGTCTTCGCGAGTCAAACAAAGAGATAAAGAAATTAGGCTCGCTTCGATTTTAAACTCGTTACTGTCTTTAGCAGGTATTAAATAAAAATTTATGCATGCGCTTATAAATAAAACTGGGTTTTACAGGGTATGCGCGTATAATTGAGGATCGGCCATAAGCGCATTGCTCCAGATATAAGCTCAAGCGATTTTAATAGGCCTGCACTTATATCCGGGGCGATACGGTATAGTGTGCAATTCACACACCCCCCATTTACCCCTTGAACTAAACAAATTGCTGGGAGTATTGTATGAGGCTTCCGAGTTCGAGTTTCCACATCGTACCAATTGTTGTGCCTAGTTGGTTCAAATACAGCCTGAAAATTGTGTTTGCTTCGCACCCCACCCCTCATTTCACCCCTCTTCCAATATTCTCTCTTATCAATTAATCTCAACCTAGCTTTAATCATCTGCAAAAAAGTTGATCCAGTCCAGGCCCTCAGATTCACTTTAAGGGACGTTGATGCATGAGGGTCCCTGTGAACAAAACCCTGATTTTCAGTGTTCCTAAAAAAAAAACCCTGAATTTTCAGGGTTCCTAAAAATCAAAGCCTGAAGTTTCAAGCAAATGAAAACCATGTGTACTAGGAAAGGCTTGACGAATCATGTCAGCTGAGGGATTCGAACCGGGTCCTCACCTGTCAGTAGAAACTCACTAACCACTGAAACAGTTGATCCTCTAAACCGTCAATCTCTTACGTATTCGTACGTTAAATACCTAAAAATGTTGGTTGACAGGAAGGATTCGGAATGTGCATTCAGTGTACACTTCAATAAAAGACTGAAAAATCAGTGTCAACTATGAAATAAAGGCTGAAAAATCAGTGTCACAAAATTCTCAACACTGAAAAATCAGTGTAGGTACCAAAAAATCCCTGAAAATCAGGAATTTCAGGGAAAAATTCCTGATATCGTAGGGCCTGATCCAGTCTATTAGCGTGTTTATTAGCGTGCTCGGTAATGCGAGTGAGCGTAATATACTCGCGAATCGTTTTCTGCGCTAGTGGCAAGATCGGCGAGATATTCTAGGCAGTTCCGTTACTCACGTTTTTCAACAGCTCTGACAATTCGGATCGACACTGTGTTCGGAACGATACGCACGTAACGAGCAGCAGTTGGGCGATCGAAAGTTCTGCTCATCGGCACCGACATTTCCTCTCACGCAAAGTTCGAACGGTCTTCATCGCAACTGTTTGCAGATGTCGCGAACAGTTATGTTCGAATCGGCATGTCAAACTTATATGCTATAGTCTATATAGGCTGTAGTGGGGTAGACTACATATGGGGTACAACATTTCTAGGTTTTCCTACTTGTACCCACCTCTTTCCTAGTTCATTCATTCCTCATTCTTCAAATGGTGTAGAGCAGGTTCCCTCGTGGGAACGCTTCTCAGGGCCCACCACTGAACTCAATCTTTTCTTCCTGCCCAAGGCGCGCCCTATAGGCCGCCCTCACGTCGCGCCCTATAGGCCGCCCTCACGTCGCGCCCTCCTAGAGGCCCCTCGCGCCACCCTTAGCGGCCCCGTCGCCACCCCTTGCGGCCCCGTCCCTGCCCCTCTAGGCCCCTCACGGCCCCTTCGCGGCCCCGTCGCCGCCCCTCTAGGCCCCTCGCGGCCCCTTCTAGGCCCCGTCGCCGCCCCTCTAGGCCCCGTCGCCGCCCCTCTAGGCCCCTCGCGGCCCCTTCGCGGCCCCGTCGCCGCCCCTATCGGCCCCATCGCCGCCTCTCTAGGCCCCTCGCAGCCCCTTCAAGGCCCCGTCGCCCCCCCTAGCGGCCACGTCACCGCCCCTATCGGCCCCGTACCCGCCCCTCGCGGCCACGTTGCTGCCCTTCGCAGCCCCGTCGCCGCCCCTAGTGGCCTCGTCGCCGCTCTTCGCGGCCCCGTCGCCGCCTCTAGCGGCCCCGTCGCCGCCCTTCGCGGCCCCGTCGCCGCCTCTCGCGGCCCCGTCGCCGCCTCTACCGGCCCTGTCGCCGCCTCTACTGGCCCCGTCGCCGCCTCTACCGTCCCCTTCATCGCTGAGCCGCCCACAGCTGAGCAGCCGAGCCACCAAGCCGTCGAGCCGCCAAGCTGCCCAGCAGCTGGGAAGCCAAGCAGCCGAGCCGCCCAGCAGCCAAGCCGCCCAGCAGCCGAACCGCCCAGCAGCCGAGCCGCCCAGCAGCCGAGCCGCTGAACAGCCGAGCCGCCGAGCCGCCCAGCAACCGAGCCGCCGAGCCGCCGAGCAACCGAGCAGCCGAGCCGCCGAGCCGCCCTCCCGTCGAGCCGCTACTGTTCCTACCGGCGCGCCCCGGCCCTACTTACTCGGACTGGTGAGATCACTTTCTGCTTGACCACTGTTGTCATGGCTACCCCCAATGTCCTAACCTTTGATGCTAAGGGTCGTACTGGTGACTTTGAGGTCTGGGTCGATGACCTCCAGCTGTTCCTACAGTGCGATAGGGCAGACAGACTCTCTCTATTCGATCTCACCTCTGGTGCCTCTCCTGTCTCGCCGACTAGTGTTGACAGCACTGTTCGCTCACAGTGGGCCACACGCGATGCTGCTGCCCGTCTTGCTGTGCGTCGCCACTTGCCGACCACTGAGCGTGAGCACTTTAGTCAGTACAAGAGTGCTAAGACCTTGTACGACACTGTAGTTGCATGCTACTCTTCCCCTACCACTGCTGCTCTTAGCCGCCTCATGCTGTCGTACCTCTTTCCTGACCTCTCCGCCTTTCCCACTATCGCTGACCTCGTTACGCACCTTGGCACTAGTGACACCCAGTACCGCGCTGCGCTTTCTACTGAGTTCTGTGCTAAGAACCCCTGACCCGTGTACATCACCCTCTACTACATAGTCACCCGGCTCCCTGACTCCCTTCGCTCAGCCAGGGACCACTTACTCTCTGTTTGCCCCACCACACTCACCGTTGACCTCCTCGAGGAGCGCCTCCTAGCAGCGGAGAAGAGCGTAGTCGCTCTAGGAGCCTCTCGTGGTGACCCTCGCACCCCCGTCTTTGAGGGGTGTTCCCCTTCCCCCCTCTTGCCCTCAGTTGCTTCTGCTGCAGCGGCTGACCTCGTTAGCCTCGAGTCGGTCGGCGCTGCATCTGCCCCTAGCGGGAGACGCCACACTGGCAAGGGCAAGGGGGGCAAGGGCGCTGGAGGGGCTGGCGGGGGCGGTGGAGGTGGCTGTGGAGGCAGTGGAGGGAGTGGGGGTGGTGGTGGAAGTGGTGGCGGGGGTGGAGGTGTCAGTGGCAGCAGTGGAGGCGGAGGAGGCGGCGGCGGTGGCGGAGGGAGCAGAGGTTGCGGAGGGGGCGGAGGTGGCGGAGGCGGCGGAGGTGGCGGAGGCGGCGGCGGTGGCGGAGGCGGCGGAGGTGGCGGAGGCGGCGGCGGCGGCAGCGGTGGAGCTGGTCGCGGCTTTGCGCAGAGGAGTGGGTCTGGTGGTGGTCCGCGCCAGCAGCAGCTGTGAGAGGACGTCCCCGTTATAATATTTTCTCACTATTATATTTTTCTGTTATCCTATTCTCCCTTTTCTCATTATTTTGGTCTTTATCTCATCTCAATCGGCCTACTATTCTATTTTCTAGAGCCTTCTATTTATTTCTCTTATTTCCTACTTTTCCCACCGACATACCTATTATACGGCACCGACAGCGCTGACAGTGGTGTATACGATGTAATCTGGGCGTAATCCCAAGTGCCAATAGCCTTGCGTGCTTATGCGCACTTGTGATTGTAGTATCGGGAAGGGTGTGTTCCCGAAGGTTCGTTTTATCTCGTTTATCCTTGTACTTTCTGAGTATAAATAGGCCTTGTATTCAGTTTTAGTGACAAGTTTCGATTGAGAATTCGATCCTGCGACACTTGGTATCAGAGCTGTTCTCACTCGACGACTCTCAGCTAAGCAGCGGTCGCGGAAAAGATCGCCTCGAAAAACCGCCGGGGGCGACCAATTCGACGCCGATTTCAGGTAAGTACCAGTTCCGCGCTTTTCGAATTAACCCCCTCGCGTGGTTTTTGAGCAGGATGGGTTCGTCGGCGACCAACGACGTTACGCAGCAGCTCTTCGCGCAAATCGCCAAGATGGAAGCGGAGATGCGAGCGACGACTGAACGGTCGCGATTGGAGAACGAGCAGCTGCGAAACGAACTGCAGCGCGTTACGCGGCTCCTCTCGACCATGAACATTCCTGCTTCGACGACTTCGCAGCGTCAGTTCGAGGTTCCGAAACTTCGCTCGCCGGAATCGTTCGACCCTAGCGATCGGAAATCCGACGTCAGGCGGTGGCTCGCGACGATGGAAATCTATTTCGCGGCGATCGGATGGTCGACGACGGAGTACGACGGCGAGAAAATTCGTCTCACGACAACGTTGATGCGCGGTCTAGCTCTCGAGTGGCTCGGAAGCAACAGTAGCATTTTCCAGGGCGAAGCCACGTGGCAGCAGTTCCGGGCAGACCTTTTCAAACGTTTTGAGCCGATTAATTCCACTTATATTGCGCGCGAAAAATTACATCACCATAGGCAATTCGGGAGTGTCGCGCAATACACGCAGCAGATGGAGGAATTTTATAATCGCATTCCCGACATTACCGAGGGCGAAAAAATTCAGTCCTACATCGCGGGGCTGAAAACCGACATTCGGCGCCAGGTTGCAGCAGCGAATTGCAGCAGCTACAGCGAAATCGTATCGGCCGCGGAGCGTTTTGACTTGGTCAACTCCGGAACACGACGGCCCCACGTCGTCGGATCATGACAAGGGGATCGCTCGGCTTCAACCAAGTTCGCCGACCCCATGGAAGTCGACAAATTCGACGCGAATTCACGACCTGCAAAAAACAAAACAATTTGCGAATTTTGCGGCGGAAACGGACATCGGATTGTCGACTGTTTTCACATGAAATCAGCACGTGCGGCATTCCGAGCTCGTGGGAGTGGCGGAACTAAAAATAAAAAGTAAAAAAACGGATCTCGCCAGTGATTGCGGATCGTGCTGGCGAGGAAAAACAGATCCGAAAGCGTCAGCGCAATCTGGACCGAATCGAAATTGAAGGACAGCATTGGGCGCGAGATTTGGAGAATCAAGGGCGAAATCCCAAGCCCCTTGACCGAAATTTGTCAGAGGAATTCGCCGAGGAAAAGAAAACATCCGCGAAAACAGACTCGACCAAGACGGGAACTCTCCAATTCGACCCCGGAAAAAAACAGAATTCGTTAAAGTTATCTTTCAAAGATGCTTTAATGAAGACTGGCGATTTTCGCGGGTGCGGAGCCATAAACAAATTCCGGGAAGAACTCCAGAGGAAGCAGACAATTAAGGAAGTGGTACGGTGCCTACGGAGCTGGGGAAAAAATGAAGGAGTGTGGAAAGGAGTAGACCTTTGCACGGCGTCAACGTCCTCTCCCTGAACCAGCCTAAGACGACTCTCCACTCCCCAATTCCCGTCGTCCGTCGAGGCGACCTGAGGGGCGCGCTGTGGGGTGGCAGGTATGGGGGTGGCCAGTGTACTTTCCTCCCTTTGCTCCTCCTCCTCCTTCGTCTCCCACTGCTGCAGCTGTCGCTGAGGGGGGTGGTTGTGTGGGAGACTGGGTTTAGGGTTTTAGGGGGGTGCGTGGGAGTAGAGCTAGTGGTGTAGCAGTGGGTGTGTATCAGGGGGGTGGGACTGTGTGCGGGAGGATGAGCGGAGGTTGCCAGTTTGTCGTCAGCAGCACCTGTAGTCCGGGGCGCTGTCCCGGTAGCCCAGTCGTAGCCAGCTGTGCCAGCCGCCCGTGGGTCCGTTGCCCGTCCGCCGCTATTTGAGCCGCGGGGCCTGTTACTCCTGTAGTCCGGGCGCTGTCCGGTAGCCGCTGTGCCAGTCTGCCTCCTGTTGCCCGTGTGTCTGCAGCTTCAGCCGTCGCCTCCTGTCTCCTCTCCCCTCACTCTCCCTCCTCCTCACTTGCCCGTTGTGACTACCACTAGCTTTGCTTATAATTGTGAACTTTAAACTATTTCTTCTTGAACTTGTGCTCAGAATGTGTGGTGACATTGTGATCCACCCTGAGCTTGTTTTGCTTTGCCTGCTCTGCTGATTACACCCCACTTTGGCTATGGGGGTGTGTCAGAATATTATCTTATTGTTCTAGCCTGTAGTGGGGTGCTCTATAGCGAGTACAACCCTTCTAGGGTTTGCTATTTGTATCCTCATTCTTGCTAGTTCAACCCTCTTTTCTTTCTTCTAATTTTGACAAGCTTGCCGATATGAAAAAACAAATAGAGTATCTCCTGGAGAAAGGGCTGATTCGACCTTCAACTTCACCGTACGGAGCTCCAGTTCTCTTCACTCCGAAGCCAGATGGAAGTCTGCGAATGTGCATCGACTACCGAGCCTTGAACAAACAGACTGTAAAAAATAAATACCCGATACCACGGATCGACGACTTACTCGATCAACTTCGCGGTGCTACGGTATTCTCCAAGCTCGACCTCAGATCAGGATACTGGCAAATTCGTATGGCTGACAACTCTATCCACAGAACCGCTTTTCGAACTCGGTACGGGTCATACGAGTATCTCATAATGCCATTCGGACTCACTAACGCACCAGCCACATTTCAGGCGGAAATGAACCACATCCTTCGGCCCCTTTTGGACGAGTGCGTGGTGGTATATTTGGACGATATCCTGATCTACTCGAAAGATATGAAGCAACACGTTGAGCATCTACGACGGGTGTTTGAAATTCTTCGACAAGAACGCTTCTACGTGAAACTATCCAAGAGCGAGTTTGCATTGAAAAAAGTCCAGTTCCTTGGACATATGGTGAGCGCTCAAGGAGTTCACGTGGATCCTAAGAAGATCGAAGCAGTGCGAACGTGGAAGACCCCTGAGAACGTGAAGGAGTTGCAACAGTTCCTTGGATTCGCCAACTACTACAACCGGTTCGTACCGAACTACGCCAAGATTGCCGCACCATTAACGAACCTGTTGAAGAAGAATACACCATATCAATGGGAGGCGAAGCACCAGGAAGCCGTGGAACAACTTAAAACCGCACTCACGTCCGCACCTGTCCTTATCCTGCCAGACCCTGAACTTGACTATGTCATCGAGGCCGATGCTAGCGATCAAGCAGTGGGCGCAGTACTCATGCAGGATCAAGGGAAGGGACTGCAACCCATTGCATACCTCAGTAAAAAACTTCACGGGGCAGAACTCAATTACCCCATCCATGACAAAGAGGCCCTCGCCATCGTCAACGCACTTAAGGCATGGAGGTGTTATCTCGAAAGACGAAAAACGACCGTCTACACCGACGACGACGTAGCGGCACCTTGGAGCTCTTGATTCGTTGGAAAGGCTATGATCCTTCCGAGGATACCTGGGTACCTGAACACGATATGGATAACGCCCGCCGTCCTCTCCAGGACTACCTTGTAAAGCAGGGTGTTACTTCTACCACCCAGCTTTGAGGGGGGGAAGTGTGAGAGGACGTCCCCGTTATAATATTTTCTCACTATTATATTTTTCTGTTATCCTATTCTCCCTTTCTCCTCTTTATTTTGGTCTTTATCTCATCTCAATCGGCCTACTATTCTTTTTTCTAGAGCCTTCTATTTATTTCTCTTATTTCCTACTTTTCCCACCGACATACCTATTATACGGCACCGACAGCGCCGACAGTGGTGTATACGATGTAATCTGGGCGTAATCCCAAGTGCCAATAGCCTTGTGTGCTTATGCGCACTTGTGATTGTAGTATCGGGAAGGGTGTGTTCCCGAAGGTTCGTTTTATCTCGTTTATCCTTGTACTTTCTGAGTATAAATAGGCCTTGTATTCAGTTTTAGTGACAAGTTTCGATTGAGAATTCGATCCTGTGACAGCAGCAGCGCAGTCGTGAGACCCTGTCCCCTCAGCAGCTTCGTGAGTGGTACGCTGGGCGTCAGCGCGGTGGGGTACTGGTCCCTGCACCTACGTCCTCCATACCGGCGACCGCGCTGGTGAGCAGTGCGGTGGCCCGCACTCCACCCAGCGCTACTTCGGCCGCCTGACGGACACGTGGCATCACCAGTTCCCTGGCGCCACTGAGATCCCTCGCTGGGGAGATCTGTCTAGGGCTGGGGTTGCTATCTTTGATCTTGATTATGATGCTATTCTTGCTACCATGTATGCTGTGTCCGGTAGTGTTGAGGGTGACTGTTACCTGTGTGTTCCGCCTGACCCTCGCATTGAGGCTGCTGCTCTAGGTGCTAGTGCGTCTGGTGCCCGAGGTTCTGGTGAGTCTGCCCTCTCAGGTACCTAGTCGGCTCAGGCGTTACACACCTTCACCCTTGACCCGAGTGCTTCCTGCTCCTTCTTTCGAGACCGCACCACGCTTACGCCGCTTAGTCGGCCAGTTGCAGTCTCCCTGGCGGACCCCTCTGGGGGTCCTCTCCTTGCTAGCTTCTCCACTATCTTACCGTGTCCGACAGCCCCCTCTGGCACCCTATCAGGTCTCTACCTCCCCTCGTT